AGCACTGTCTCTCTAACATTCCACCCCCTACCACCATCAAAGGGTTGAGAGTGGGCAAGATCCTGGGAAGGGGTATTACCAGGCCATCTGACCCAAATTAACCAAAGGGATATTCCATACCATGTGATGTCAACTCAGATATAAAAGCTAAGGGAGAGAATGGGAATTGAATTTGCCTTCTAGAGCAAAGGCTATGCATGCTGAAGCCCTGCTTCCTGGGAAGTGCTGAACATAGTTCACTGATGGGAAGTAGAGTTTAACTTTTGCCTTTGATTATGCATGTACCAACTTTGCTTGTCTTTTTTTTTACTCTAGTAAACTGCTGTATCTTAACCTATTAGTTATTTTCCATCTTGCTCTCTCCCCCCTATCCCACTGGGAAGGGGAGGGATAGAGCAGCTTGGTGGGCCCCCAGTGCCCAGCCATGGTCAACACACTACACGCCAGCTTATGCATAAAAAATCCTTTTCATTCTCCTCTCAATTCTCTGCTTTTTCTTTCCTCCTTATTCTTCTTTTTCCCTACCTCAATCCTTCACCTACACTCCTTCATAAGACTTGCATAGTCCCACAGTCCTCTCTCAAAATCCATACTATTCATGATCCTTTAATTTCCCCCTCTTATCTGTTGCACAGCTCAGATAGTCTCTTCTTAAAACTGTGCCTTGTGTCTTTAATAGCCCATCAAATAGCAGCCATAGTGTTTTGGTCTTTGTTATTTTCTTGTTTATCACTTGCTTACCAGATTTGTGTGTCTGTGTGTTTTGTCTCTTTCCCTTTTACTTTACGTCATAAAAGTCCTTGACATAAGCTTAATGAGCCAAATTCTCTCCAGTCTCACACACTAGCCACTACCCACTGGGTAATATTATTTTAGAAAAGGTCTTGTGTATGGTAGTGAACAAGAATTTGAGTATGAATCAGCAGTATAACTTTGTGACATATTAGCCAACAAATAAGTAAGAGTGTAGCCTGCAGGTTGAAAGTAAAGATTATTACCCTGTGTGCGGCATCTGTGTGACCCAAGTCTGTGTCATATTGCCTTAGGTTCTGGGATTACCAGTACAAGAAAGACACTGAGAGTCCAGAATTCTCATGGAGAGGGTCAGAGGGCTCAGGCATATGAGACACAGGAGACACTGAGAGTACTGGTGAAACTAAAGAGGGATGTTTTTCAAGACTTCTGTCTTTGAGTACTTAATGGGAGGTCACAAAGGAGACAGACTTATTGGTGTTCACAGTGAAAGGACAAGAGGTCAAGGTTAGAAGTTGAAGCAAGGGAAAAATTATTACTAGGTATCAGAGCAAAATTCTCCACAGGAAGTATTTAAACACTGGAACAGGTTATTCAGACAGTCAGCTGAACAAGACACTTAACAGTGGGATCTAACTTTGAAGTTAGCCATGCTTTGTGATGGGGGAATAAACTAGATGACCTCTAGGGGTCCTATGCAATCTAAATTATTCTCTCATTCTAATTTAAAGGTCAGTATTGGCCTGGAATAAAATGTTTTAGAGAAAAGAGAGGAACATTCAGATTCATTTGTAAAATTTGAAATGTAAATGTTGAATCTGGACAAAAAATATACTGTGACTTAATTTTTGCAAGAGTTCTGCAGAATATATATTAGCCCATTACAATATGCTTACAAGGAATGCTCTAGGGATAAGCTACACATGTTCCTTAACTTTATTTGATCTAAGTCTGATTGCAAGTGACTGGATAACAGTAAGACATTCCTCATCCAAGTATATGTGAATTTATAAACTACCCTTAGAAAATCTTAGAAGTACACAGGCTGTCTAGTGTGTCCTTTATTGAACCCAAATTATGGAAGAATTCTTTCTTACTTCTTGTTTCAGCAGCCTGGCCCTAAGGGAGCATACAGCTGGCACAACCTAGCTCAAGGAGGTAGAAGAACTTTTCAAGGACTAGCAGTGACCTTGGAGTCTTTCTGGAATCCAGTGATGGGGTAAAAGCTGCAAATGTAGGACTGAATAGTACCCATGCATTTTTAAATCTGCTTTTGTAGAAATAAGGGTATCAGCCAGAAGTCAGACTTTGAATTTATTTCTGTTTCTTGAAACCTGCCCTACAAAATGCATTTTGTTTCAAAATATATTACTAGGTTTTTTTTCCACCTCAAACTGGAGCAGAAATTCTGTCTATTCTCTTCTGCATGCAACATGTGATCAGCTCAGATAAGGTGTCTTTAGCTGAGTTGCATCACAAGCTTTGAAGAACGGAAGCACTGACATAGAAGCTGCTGCAGAATTTCTTCCTCTCTAGGAAGTTGTTCAGCAGATATCCACCAGAGTGAGAACATGGCTGAGATTGGCCCTTAACTACCTTGGTTGGTCTTAACTATGTCCTCAGCCCTAGGTGAAAAGAGCTTTGAGCCCTTGCAGAGTAGCTGTTTAATTCCACAGACAAAGAACTTTTAAAACTCCTCTCCTTAGTTCTCTGAAGTTCATAAAATTTACCTTACAGAACTAAGTAATTTGAAGGTTTAAAAGATGTTTCAAAAAACCAAGAAGGTTGGACCATCAACAGGAAGTTTACTTAGGGAAGTAGTGTCATCAGAGTCCTCACAAAACCTTATTTAAAATTCCAGACTTGAAAAGTAAGTATCTTTTAATTTCCAGATTTTGTACTTTAGCACATATTTGCTTGCTTCTTTCATGGTTTATTCTATCATTGAATCTCCTACCTCTGCATCAAAGAATGGGTATTTTAGGGGTAAGGTTTGGAAATGCTATACAAGTAAATAATCTATTCTGATAGGGGAAATTCATAACATTACTTTACAGAGACACTCTTTTAAAACATATGTGAATGATTTTAGTCTCAAGAATATACAAAATCATCACATATAAAGGTAGAACATCTAAGAACATAGACTTTGAGAGAATGTAATAACCAAGAAAAGGTAGAAGAAGCAAATGAGGCTCCTAGTGGAATATATATATATCTGAAGGGAAAAAAAAGAAAATATTTTAATATTTATTTTATTTAAATAAATTTTATTTAAATAAAATAAAATTTAAAAAAGCTGCAATTCATGTAGCTTATCTGTATGAAGGTGAGCATAGAAACTAGCTTGACATGAAAATAGGTAATTTTATCAAAAGATATCCAAATTACTTAATATTACATTGATTTTTAAGAATCTACATAAGTTACAACAAAAAATTAAAGTTCAGTTCAAAGTTTCTTGACCTGAGTATACTCACTGTTGCTTTTTCACAGCAGATCACTTCTAGCTCCACAGTGACTTTTGGCATTACACAATGAGCTGCTAATTTCATCTGCAAAGCCAAACACCTAGAACTGCTTTAACAACTTGAAATCACTCATTCATGTCCCTCAAGTCAATCCAATGTCCAATGGATATTATTATAAAAACAGTTCAATTACATGCAGCAATCTGTATACAGATAGATAAAATAATACAATGAACTAAAACAGTTTCCTGTAAATATATTGTCCTTTAAACCCTCATAGGTAGTATAAATGAGTATATTTTTTATTTAATTAATCAGTATAATTATTATACATTTTCAACCCAGTACTTTGAGAATATATGCTCCAGAAATTTGATGCATATGTGCAGACTGTGGAGTCAACTATGCACTTTATTCTATAGGATAATTTATTACCTTTTCCATAGTTCTCAGCTAAATGCTAAAACTAATGTAAATTCAACAAGACACATTTGTTTCTGAGAAAAAAGTGCAACATAACTGCTTCTAATTAATTAAAATTATCTTTGAATTAATAAAGACAAAAAAGTAATTAACCAACCAAAACAAAACAAAGAAAAATAGTTAGGAGATAGGATTTAACAAGATGTATTGATAATATTTACCTACAAAACAAACAAACCACACACAAAAAAATCTATTTTTGAAACATACTCTTCTAGCTACAGCCAATGCAAGAATCTCAAACCCAACCCAAGAATATCTGCGTATAATGTACTTTTCTTATGGGAATGGTTAATTAGAATAGGCACTTGTAGGAACTAAAAATGTTCATAATTTTTTTCTTCTGCTGCAGAGATAAATGAAAGTACAAATCCACAATCTTGCCATCTAAGCCTATAGAAGTATAGGTAAATCACCAAGACACACTCCCTGTATAGTCTTTCAGGACAGAAGTTATAACAACTAGAACTAGAAATGGCATTCTAGAACTCTGCAATATTTTTGAAAAGTGAACAGAAATGATAATGATGAAGTGACAGAAAAACTTACATAGCATGAATTTGTTTAAACCATTATGAGGTTTAGAATTCCCTTAAGCTATTCTTTAATAGAAAACTACCCAGAATGACACTACATGCCAATTAAATTTATAGGCCATTAATAGAAAATCAATCTTTATGGTTTTAATCAAAGCTGAGACAAGAGACTACCCAAACCTTCTGTGGCAGGTGGTAAATGATCACTGCACTATGAGAAACAATTTGCAGCCATGTCATTGCAGTGTTCCCAAGGTAAGTGTCACATTGCATATGCTTCATTTTTCCTATATTTTCGGGTATTGGTTTAATCCTGAAAATCTGATGTATTTGAGGTCTGATCTAGTCTAACAAATCCTATATACTTTCTTTTAGTGATTCAGAATATGTCCCATTAAATAAGGTGTTTATATATTATAAAATATGTTATTATATTACTTTTGTGAGTGTATATGACTTTCACTGCCTGAATATCTGGCCCAATTCTTATATATACTCTATTGAAATCAGGTTAGTTTTCTTCATCTCTTACTCCTTTTAAGATTAGTTCTGTTGTAAAACTTCTAACAAATCAAGTACACTGGTCTAAGAATTATTTTAATGTATATTGACAATATCTGAAAAACTGTATTATTTTATCATATTGTCATTGTTTAGAGCAAATAGAAATATTGCAGCTGTGCTATGTAAGTTTTTTAGTTACTCTGAATGAAAAAAAGGTTATGTTGCTTTTTCGATCACCATAAAAATCTTTCACCTCAGTGTCCTTTTGTGAAAAAACTCAGTAAGTGAAAATTCTTTGAAGGCAGGTTTCCTAATCAGATTTTTATAAGGAGATATCATTCATTGCTCAGCTTAACAGGGCAGTTGAATGCCAACTGGTAATTGAAGTCCGTCTGCAGAAAAATAAAATATCAATCACACTTGTCATTAAAAGAGAAGGGAAAAGCACAAATGAATGTGGTTTTCTTTTGACCCAAGGATTTTTATTTTTTTTAACAGAAATACTGATTTATGCAACCATCAGGTTTGAATGCATGCAACACAACTTTCTGAGATTGAATTCCATTGATTTTCTATAACAATGTCAAGCATTCAATGCATCACAGAAGCTGTGAGACTGAAATAAATAATCCCTTATGAAAGAAAGTGATTCTTCCCTTCTTAAACCCATTGGTGAACATCTTGCTCTCCTTCCGCCTTGCTCTGTTGTAGCTTAAGCCGTAAGATGTTAGAACTTCTTAATTCCCTGTCTTCATTTTCATTTAGGATAACATGCTTTGTTTTCCTTATGACCTTCTTTATGCTCTTGCCTCTAGGGTAAGTTGTTAAAATTGTATCCCTTTCTGTTTATGAAATGTGAATAGATGTAAAGAGCAAAATAAATGCTAAAAATTCAACTTTGAATATAGTTATATGTGATATTGACAGAATCTGAGTAGCACAAAAATAGCATTGAAAGATGCTATTTCACATGGAAGATTCATATTTGAAAGGTGCAAAAGACTTGTATGTAACACATACTACACATGCAAATTATTATTTGTAATGAGCTCTGCAGTGTTTCTGATCACACTGTCAGTCATAATCACTTTTCTGATATTGTTAGTTCTGGTTATTTGAGTTTAATATTTATAGCTCAAGATACTTATTTATAAATTTGAGTTAGATGAGTCTTGTACTCCACACCAAATTTATCACTTGCTTTGTTATTGATTTGTTAGTTATTTACTCTTCTTTTTCATACATATGATTTAAACTTGGTAAATAATTTAAATTCCACTATGACATTCATTTCAGGCACCTTCAGATGTTGTTTTGAAATTCCTACCTTGAACATAAAAACAAACTATTGCTTATGAAGAATGACATACAATTTTGAGGTGAGTGTTTCCATACAAACAGATACTACTGTCCCCAAAGTATTTTACTGATGTGCAACTTGGTTTATCACAAATACAAAATGCATGATTTTCAGATAAAAACTCAACTGTTTCGCAAGTAAGAAAATTAAGAGCATTGAATTATCTTCTCATCCTTATTCAATAACAGACAAATCAGTAATTATTTTTTTTCTTTTTGTGGTTCCCTGTATCTTAAGGAGTTCCAATGACTATTCAGCAGTTTCCTCAACTGCATGTAGGCCTTCTATTTTAACTGGCAATAGCAGGTCAATCAATACAGGTACTCATTTGTAATTTTAATAGGTCTACATTTGTACCTAAATATTGGTAACATAAATAAATATAAATAGAAATCTCTATTTGAAAGATTTGATCGCCAGTGAAAATACAATGTAAAAGTGACTGCTAACTTGATGACAATATCTACTTTAGGCATCTTGTTTCTGATATTTTAATTTGCTCAATGTTTCTATTTCTCTTACACCCAGGAAAGAATGACTGACATCTTCAGTGGGATATTTGAGCAGAGACACAGTTTTGATTCATCTCCTACATCACTGGTTTCCATTTTTTAAAGGGAGGCCCATGACAACTCTGTTCCTTGATAATAACAATTTTTTTGACAATTTGAACCCTGTGATTTTAACATCTTCCTCTTTTAGAGTGGTTTAGAGAAGTAAAGAAAGATGATTATAGACTTCAATAGCTAATACAACTTAAACCAGCATGTCAACAACCATGAGTTTCACTGAATATGGAAATCAGCTTTTCAGAAATTAGTTCTTCTCTCTCATAGTCAAACTTATAGTCAAACTTAAGAAGTGTGGGTTGAGTGAGGTGGATTGAGAACTGGATGAACAGAAGACCCCAGAGCATCCTAATCAGTGGCACAGGATCCAGTTGGAGGCCTGTCCCTAATGATGGATTAGGGATGGATAGTCCCTAATCAAGGATTGCTACTGAGCCCAGTATTGTTTAACTTACCCATCAATGACTTGGATGAAGGGGCAGAGTGTGTCAGCAAGCTCACAGCAACACAAAGCTGGGATAAGCAGACAATACCCCTGAGGGCTCTCTCTGCAGCCCTTCAGAAGGATTTCAAGAGGTTGGAGAGATGGTTTGAGAAGGATTGTCTGAAACATGACAAAGGCAAATGCAGCATCCTGTACCTGGAGAATAATAACCCACCAGTACAGGCTGACCTGGAAAGCAGATCTGTGGAGAAGAATGTGGGGGTGCTGGTGGACAGAAAGCTGTCCATGAGCAAGAAGTATGTCCTTGTAGCCAAGACCACCAACAGAATTGTGGAATGCATTAAGAGCGCTGCCAGCAGGTCAAATGAGATGATTGTGCCCCTCTACTCAGCCTTGGTGAGAGCACATCTGGAGTGCTGTTCTGGGGTCTTCAGTACAGGACAGACACAGACACAGCACTCCTGAAGCAGGTTCAGGGGAAGGCAACAAGGATGATTAGGGGGCAGGAGTATCTCTTCTATGAGGAAAGGTTGAGGATATTTGGCCTGTTCAGCCTTCAGGAGACATGACTGAGGAGTGGCTTCATCAATGTCTATCAGTAACTGAAAGGAGGGTGTCCAGAGCATGAAGCCAGGCTCTGCTCAGTGGTGCCAAGCAACAGGAGAAGACACAATGGGCAGAAACTGATGCACACGAAGTTCCATCGGAACATCAGGAACAACTTTATTGTTCAGATGACAGAGCCTTGGAAGAGAGTGCTCAGAGAGATTGTGGAGTCTCTGATTGTTGGCCCAGATAAGCCACTGTGGTCTCTTTCAAAATGACCCCATTCCCTGAATGAAAAAAAGAAAAAAGCAGGAATGCAATATAGCAGTAGGTATGGTCAACAGAAATTGGCAGAGTTTTAGATTTAGTTATTCTTTCTGAGAAACTCATTCCTTCTTTCAGAAATTTTATGAGATCTTATTTTCATAATTAGGTAATATCCAACTGGGCAATGACTTACTGACTGCTATGCAGATTGTCATCTGGAATTGTTTACTGCCTTAGGACAGAAAAAGACATGGAATACATCTCACCTGTATGCATATTTTACTTCAATGTATCTTTTTTCCTGTGCTATAGGTAAGGAAAAATCAATTGGCTCTGAAATCTTCTACTTGTGTCTTACGTGTATTATGTTTCCTTGTCCTTGATAGGACAAAAGATGGTTTCTGTCACGACAACAGCTTCTGTTGATACAAATAGAGCACTTTGGGAATAATTTAACAGATGTTAGTTGAAAATGACTGAGAATATTCAGTAAGGGAATAAAGTGGTGAAAAGTTATATTTAGTATTTAATTATTAAAATGGAACTTACTTAATCAAATACATGAAAGAGATATAGATATCTTTATAATCTCACTGCGATAGTCTTTCAAATAGTTGTAAGGAGCAATAAGGTCCCCCCCCTGAGTCTCCATTTGTCCAGATTAAACAGCACCAGTTCCCTCAGCTGCTTCTTATAAAACCTGTGCTCCAGACCTTTCAGCAGCTTTGTCATCCTTCTTTGGACAACCTATGGCACCTCAATGTCTTTTCGTAGTGAGGGGCCCAAAACTAAGCACAGGACTTGAGGTGCAGCCTCACCAGTACTGACTACAGAGAGATGATCACTGCCCTGGTGCTGCTGGCCACACTATTGCTGATACAGTCTAGGATGCCATTGACCTTCTTGACCACCTAGGCAGACAGTGGCTCATATTCAGCCAGTTGTTGACTGACACCCACAAGTCCTTTCCTGACAGGAAGCTTTCCAGCTGCTCTTCCCCAAGCCTGTAACATTGCATAGGGTTGATGGGACCCAAGGGCAGAACCCAGCCCTTGGCCTTGTTGAACCCCATACAGTTGGCCTCAGTCCATTGATTCAGCCTGTCCAGATCTGTCCCTTCAGAGCCTTCCTACCAGATCAACACCCCCACACAACCTGGTGTGAACTGACTGAGGGTATATTCCATCCCCTTGTCCAGATCATTGATAAAGATATTGAAGAGAACTGGCCCCAACACTTAGCCTATGGGAACCCCAGTAGTGACTGACCTCCTTCTGTGCGTAGTACCTTTTATCACCCTACATTTTCGGCCCAGCCATCCAGACACTTTGTTACCTGTTTTCTGTTTCAGAAAAGAGTGCACCTGCCCAAGTCATGAGCAGCCTTATATGGTTGCCACCAGACTGTTGGCTGAACCTGGCTTCCAGCACTAGACCTGTTCTTATTACTCAGTTGTTTTTGTCAATGTTCTGCCTGATTTGCTGTCACACTCAGCTTCTGACTTGCATTGCCTTGCAGAATAACTCATTTCTGCTGCTCCCTGGCACATATAACATCACCTCTTTCACTTTCAGATGTCCTCTTGTTCCTGCCAGATGGATAGGAGGTTGCTTTGGCTTCATGTCCCCAGGTTCAGCCAGTAATGAGTCTGAGCACATATTCCTGATTCACAAACAAATACAGCTGGTCACACAGATAAAAACAGCGGTGGCATAAACATGAACAGAACACCCACTTCTGTTCCACCTTTCCAGCTGATTTGGTTTAAATCTACTTGTACAATATGCACAAGCACAATGTACTTCTTTTCAGTAGTTTGGCCCAGAGCCTGGTCTCCTCCACTTCCTTGAATCTGAACCCATAGCTGCCTCTTTGGATAAGGTCACTCACACCCTTTAATCTACTCATTGGCTTCTCCAACTTGAACTTCTCTAGTGGCTTGTGTACATATGAACATAAAGGAAAGAGAGACACAGCTGGAAAGAACAACAGTGTCATAAGAAGAAAGGACAGATTTTAGCTATCAAGCAGAGGATTTCATAGAAATGCACTGACCAACAGGTTACTTCCATACAATGAGTGACTTTGGGCCCCTTTTCCCTCTTCTAACTGCATCCTTTACAAAGTCCTTTGTCCTTTAGACAATAACCCCTTTTAGTCTGCATGGTTTTCTGGGGAATTTATTTTGCTGACTCATTTTGGTGA